ACCTTCTCTATTCTATTTTCAAAGCCTCCTCTGAACCCAGGGTAGCTAACCAGAGTGAGAGCCCAGAAGCCCCAAGGTCTACATATCATACCTCAGCAACTACACTGTTGGGAAGTCCTCCCAGATGTCCGACTTAAATCCCTTCTGCTGTACCAAGCCCCAGTTGCCTTCTGTTTTTCAGGTAGGGCAGTGAGAAGGGTGACTTCAGGGACTTCAAGAAGTGGGTCATGTCACTGGGGACCTGGCCTTTCCCAGAGAGTGGGCAGCTGGGAAATAAATGTGTTGAAAACATCTCTGTTACTAAATATATCGACTTCCCAAGAGGACGGGGGTGCTGACAGGGAGGCTGTGGCCCCTGCCCTGGATGCCACAATCTGAGATAAGCTGGGGCACTCAGAGCAGCAGACAAGGCTGCTCCGGCTGTCCTGGGGGCTGGGGCAGAGGGGGTGGGAGGCCAGCATGGAAGAGGATGATGTCTCCTCTTCCTCCAAGCCAAAGCTGCCAAGCCCGAGCCAGCTGATTTGCATATTACTTTGCATTCATTTGCATGCCACTTTCTGGAAGGGGTCCACATTTTTCAGTCGCTGCCTCTCCCTCATTTGCAGGGTTTCTGTTCACTGAACACCCCACTCTCAAGCAAGGAGGCGACCTCAGCAGGCCCTGGTGGGGGCACTGGGAGAGACCAAGAAGTTGGAAATTTATGATGACACCTACACATCATGTCTGTTGGCAGACACCTTGGTAGCAGAAAGTGCTTTCTATAGTCTAACCTCAATTCCCTTGCTCCTCTCCTGCTCAATCTGTGCCCAGTCCTTCCTCCATCCTTGTACTCAATGCTTAAGCCACTTTGAACTCTCACATCAACAAAACCATGCTTGTGCTCACCTCAAGGCCTTAGCACATGGTATTCCCTCTTCCTGGAGCTCTCCCTCAATTCTGCCTGGAGAAGTGACTCTTCCTTCTGAGGCCAGCCCCAAGGCCCCTCCTCTTAAATGCCTTCCCCTGTCACTGGGAGAGATAGGGAAGACCACGGCCTTCCCTCCACATGGTCATTGGCTCTGTCCATCTCCCCGCAGGGCTGCCATGTTTGGTTGGGCACAACCCAGTGAATGGCTGCTGACTGAATGAAGGAAAGAATGCATCCCGATCCCCCTCCCCTGTCTCCTGAGCCCCTCCAGTTCCCCTCCCTTGATGACATCATTCCCCTGCAGGAGGGACAGGGATGGAGAGTGCCTCTGCCTCCAATCATGACTTCTGTCCTGGGAGACTTCCCCTTCACGCCCACAGCTCACTCTCATGAAGCCAGGAGATTCCACAGCTGCTCTAGAAAGTCCTTCCTATTGTCTATCCTCATCCCCTTTTCTGGCCATGCCTGCCTCCTTATCATTATTTTTGGAGAGGAGTCAGGGACTGCCCCATCTCAATTTTACCATCTGTAGTTGGAATAAAGGCTGCTCATCCCTCCCCACCTTTGCCCAGGATGTGCTCAAACCATTATGCCCCAGCCTAGCCCTGCTCAGGAGGAAGGACAGTGACCCAGGATGGAGAAATGACACAAGGCCAGGCCCTGTAGAGGAGCCCAGGGCAGATATAATCACTACAAGAGAAGGGCTGCCCAAGAGGGAATGGGTGAGCATCCTGTCCCTGGGGGTATGTAAGCAGGGCTGGAGAGATCTGCGGGCAAGCTGCAGAGAGGAGTGAAGCAACTGCTAAAATGTGGTCCAGATGCTCTTCATGTCCTCTCCTCCCTGGAGGTTGCACTGAGCCTGGGTGCCCGGCCCTGTGCTATGCAGCATGAGGACGTGGCTCTTGCCTTTGAGGAACTCCTTGGCTGGCTGGGTAAGGAGCTCACACACAGGAGATGTCACAGGGGAAGGCTGAGTCTGATCCGCATTCTTGATCCTGTACCATCACGAAGGGAGACTTCAGGGTGGATCACGGGGTCAGAGGGAGGGTGAACCAAGGAGGGCTTCCCAGGGGAGGCTTGCTATTCAAAAGCCCTTCCCCAGCTCCCTAATCCTACGAGGAAAAGTCCAAGCCCCTTAGCCTGGCATTTGAGACCCTACAGTATCTGGTCCCTTCTGCCTTCTCTTCCTCTTCTCAACGCCCTTCTCGCTCCTGCCAACCCAAACTCTGTGAACCTTTGAACATGCCGCGCTTTTTCACATCTACCCACCTTTACACACTGCTCTCTCTGCTCTTCCCTGCCTGGGAAATTCCTATCCATCCTTCAAGACCCAGCTATAAGTATTCCTCTGAAGCCCTGGCTAGGTGTGGGCTGCCACAGTCCCCAGGCTTCCCTTTGCACAGCACTGTTTCCACTACGGAGTTGTAAGTTTCCACTTCTGCCTCCCTCATCGGACTGGGCACTCCTGAGAGCAGGGTCTGGGTCAGTGTCCTCTCTGTGTCCCCAGTGACCAGCCCAGTGGGCACCAAGCAGGCACTGGGGAATCCCTGTTAAGTAAATGAATGAATGAGTGAATGGATGAGTGCAGGAATGGAAGCACATGAGGGAGGCCCAAGCAGCAGAAGCTCGAGGAGTGCAGGCCTGACCCGACAGCAGCACGGCTGAGGGTGAGACTCCCAGCCCATTAAGACTGAAGGGGGTGCTGCCGGGAGTTCTGCCTCCCCCATTTGGCTAGATCCCAGCCAAGCCATCAGTCATCCCCGGGGACAGGAGGCTAGAGTGGGAAGCAGGAAGAGTGGCAGGAGCTGGTCGGTGGGCAGGGGGAGCGGGGCGGGGGGGGGCAGGGAGCATAAAGGCAGTTAACCCTCACTGCGCCAACCCAGTTCAGGCAGAGAGGTCCGTGCAGGCCCTGAGCGGGGAGGAGACTGAGGCTCGGGACTGATGAAGAGCTTCAGCCCCAGTCCTGCAGCCAGAGGAGGGTGCCAAAGCCCCAGCCTCAGTTTCCCTGTCTGGGAAGAGATGGGTCCATGATCTCTGACCATCTGCAGCCTGGCTGGAAAGCCCACAGGTGTCTCTCCACTACCTTACTCGCCTGAGCCTTCCAGGAGCTCTTCCTTCTCGACATTCTGAGCCCCTCAGGTCCTCCCACTGCACCCCCCACCCTAGTCCAAGCCCAAGCCACCTCGATGCTCCCTCCCCATCCTCTTTCCCAAGCCCTCCAACTTCTCCCTTCAGAATGCCCCTGATCTCGTCTGCCCCTTGGCCCACTGGGCCCCAGACCTCACTGATGTCCGCATTGGCCTGGCCTCCACGCCTCCATGCCCTCATCTCTTTCTTCCAGTTCAGCCTGGACAGTGCCACTGAGGCAACTTTCTAAAACGCATATCTGATTATGTCCCTCCACTGCATAAAACCTTCCTGGACTCCCCAGGGCCCTCAGGACAAAGCCCAAGAGGCCCAGAATTCCAAGTCCTGCAAGATGTAGCTCCTGCCTACCCCTCCAGCCTCCTCACTGCTCCAGGCAGATGCCTGATTCCAACCCAGGGCCTCTGTTTATGCGGTACCCACCCCAATTCCCACCTGTTAGCTTGATCCTGGTCCTTACTGCTTAATTATTCTCAAGCTATTTTATATCTAGGAAGCTTAGGAGGCCCCAGAGGGCAGAACCATTATTGCTTATTTCTTTTCTGCAACTCCCCATAGGGTGTAGAATGAATTGTCCTGGGCTCACAGAGGTGGTCACACACTCAGCCACCCCCGCCCTACCTCAGTGGGCCACAGTGTCCCAGCTGTGTCCTCAACACCAGGAGAAGGAAACAGCCACCCACACACACTCAGATGAACGCACACATATAGACGCACACACACACACCAACCACACAAGCATCAATATGCACACTAGCACCATGATCACACACCCAAACCAGAACACTTATGCTAACACAGACATCCACATCCACATACACACCCACACACATACATACGGTGACACTAATATTTACAGACTAACAAATATACACACCAACGTGAATGCACATGGAATCAAACAACACGCTTAATACTGAGTTACTCTATTCTGCAGATACAGCACACGTATTAACATGCATGTCAACATATAAATTCAAACTAACACACACACATCCCAACCTGCACTCAGACATACGCAGATGAACCCTCGCAGTCACACTGGGATGCTCGCACATGCTGACAGACCGCTGCACATCCAGCCACCAAGGACCCCAGAACTCTACAAGCCCCTCTACACCCCACGTTTCCCCCCACACCCTATGCATACACATACCCTCACATAGCCTGGCACAGACCTGCACCTCCGCTGACTCGGAGGCACACACGTCACTCGCCTGTCACCTTGGCAGCCCTCAGACGGTGGAGGGGCACGTCCACAGAACTCCCCGCCACCCGCACATGCATCCCCTTGCACGTGCGTGCACACGAGGCTGGAGCACAGGGGCCTCATTCCAACCAGCTCCATGGCTCTCTCTGGGACAGGTGCTTTGGGGCCAAGTTGCCTAAACTGGCAGCTCTGAATCCCAATCCCAATGCCATGGAGGGCAGTTTCCCAGACCCTCTTCTGCTTCACGGCCACTCTTCCTCATTCATATTCATGTTCTCTCTCTCTCTCTCTCTCTCTCTCTCTCTCACACACACACACACACACACACACACACACACAAACACACGCCCCGTGGTCGTGAGCATCATCCCTCTCCAGGGTCCTGAATCAGTCTAACAGCCTCCACCAGAGCTCATTGGAACCGCCCCCCACCCCCCTCCCCCAGCCCCTGAAGGGATGATTCAGGTTCATCAACAACCCCTCCCCCAGCCACTAGCCTCTTCTATGGGACCCTGGCCCCATCACCCCCTAGGTTGATGCGAAGCACCCCCACCCTACACAGAGGCCCCCCAGGCTACACTCCAGGCAACCCAGCGCCCCAGGAGCAGGATCAATCCTCCCACGTGGCTCAGCTCCACGCCAACCCCAGCTCCTTGGAGGGACTCCAGTACCCTGTCCATGGCATCGCTCACCCAGTGCAGCCACTCACCCGGACCCCAGCCCCTCAACAGTACTCACGGCTCAGCCGGTCGCGCTGCCGGGTACTGCTGGCTCCTGCAGAGGATGGAGTGGCCACATGCCTGCCCCATCGCTCCTCATCGTCTGCCTCCCCAGCCAGACTAAGGTGGCACCTCGCCCTGTCCACCCTGCCTGCGGTTCCAGGAAGGGCGCCTGGCCCAGCAGGCACGGGGACCAAGAGCAGCAGCCTGTCCCCGACTCAGCCTGGACTTAACACCCCAATCCAGCCCTGCTGCCCCAGCTGCTTCCGCCTGTCTCTCCCACCGCCACTGCCTCTGCCGCTAGGCTGGCTCTGGGAGGAGGTTGGAGCAGGTCTGATAATGCAGAAGGAGGAGGGAGGAGGGAGGAGGAACAGAGAGGCCCAGACAGAGAGGGAGAGAGGGAGGGAGGGGTAGAGAGAGACTGGCTGGGAGAGAGGAAAAGAAAGACTCACACACACGAGGAGGCACTGAGAGAGAAACAGACAGGAAGGCAGAGAGAAACATTTGAAGAAGGATAGGAGAGACAGGTGAGAGCCCCTCAGAGATCAAGATGGAAATACAGAAATCAGAGAGGCATAGGGAAAAACAGACACACACAGAGGAACAAAGAAAAGGAAAAAAAAAAAAAAAGCAGAGACAGAAATGGAGAGAGAAGCAGCCAATAGAGGAGCCCAGAGAGAGGTGTGAGGATGAGGGATTTGTAATGTTCATGGGCTAGGATGGGATGTGGGGATGACGGGTAGGTGGACGGGACCCAGACCTTCTGCTACGCCATCACAGAGGCCCTCAGGGTGAGGGGACACTCCTGTACCCTCCTCAGGTATGGAAAGGCCAGGCTCCAGGCAGAACTAGCTCCTCTGGGCTCCCTGACTGGGTTTGCATTATGTCCTAGGGCTCATCCCCAGCACGAAGATGGGTACACAGGAGGCTCAGGGGGCTTTTGCTGATTGTCTTTGGACGCAGAGCCTTGTCCAGAGTCCATCTCTTGGCTCTGCTTAGCTGGGACACTGTGGCAGTGGATGCTCCAGCATGGACTTCTACTAGGAGTTGTGGGCACACAGGCCACAGCATGCTCTACATGGCCTTCACTGTCAACAGGCTACAGGCATGGGGGATGGCCTGCAGCACCTCTGTCCTGTCCCCAGAGAGGACTCCTCAGAAGAAGCCTTAACCCGATGGGATGGGGGCATTTTAGGCAATGGGACAGGTAGGGAGTTGTCACAGCAAAGCTGAGACTTGGATGAGCTACTGTGGGATGTAGGAGAAAAAGCTCCACACTTTGAGGTAGAAGATAGGGGTTCAAGTTCTGGCTCCACCACTAACATACTCATTCATTCATTCACAAACACCTACCACTGGCCAACCTCATCAGTTATGACTCAGACTGTTCCTTGCCTCGGAGAAGCACCCAGGCAAGGCGGGGGGGACTTGCAGTGTGACAGAGGGAAGCACAAGGTCTGTTGTGCCCAGAGGAGGCCCTTGACCCAGTCAGGGGGTGGTGAGCACTTCCAGAAGAGAGGATATCAGCTGGGTCTTTAAAGGCAAGGAGGGGATCCCAGGAGAAAAGGGTGTATTCCAGGCTAGAGGAGACACATGTAATCCTCACCAGTAACCCCACCTCTCTGAGCTGTGGGGGGAATAACTCCCACCACACACACCAGGTTCCAGGCAGAAAGCCCATGAGACTGAGTGGAAACCTGACCCCTGCTGAGGGCATGGGGTGCACAGTGGTGGGTGTGAATTGGAATGACCGAGCTTGTGCAAGAGGCCTGTTCAGGCTGAGGGCTACAGAAAACAGTTGTCTCATGGCTTAGGAAGTGTCAGGAAAGAAAATGTGAGGGAGCCTTTCCTTCCCACTGTGGCCCCAGAAGGTAGAATTTTAGATCTCTGGAAGCTCTGGGCAAACTGTTTTCTCAGCCTGACCCATCCCTGGGACTGGCTGCTCCATGCCTGCCAGCTGGGGAGACATTCTGCGAGCTCAGAAAGCCAAGGCCCTGGACCATGTCCAGTCTTGGCCTCTCACAGCTCCCCTTCACACCCTGAGGCCTGGCAGCAAAAAGCTGAGTCAGAGGAGTTCAAAGGAGGGCGCCTCCCGGGTGTGGGGGGAGCAGGTGCATTGAGGGCTCACCCAGCCCTCAGCCTCCTTTCTGCCCTCCCACTCTGGAAACCATGGTGGAGGCCTCGTCCTCGGAAATCTCCTGGGAATATACACATGGGAGTCAGGTGGGAGGGAGGGTCTCCTCCCCATCCCACCCCACACCAGACTCCATAGCTGCCCCAGAATTAAGGAGTCTACAGGAACAAGGTGCAAGATCCAGGATACTGGGTACTCCAGAACTTAAGAGTCAGGCGGTCGGAAGTTCAAATCCCAGTTCTGCCACGTGTCCTGGGTAAGTTTTTTAACCTCTCCGAACTTCCATTTGGTTTTCTTATCTGAAAGATGGGGTCATAAATTCCAAGCTCGAAGAGTTGTAAGGTTTGGGGAACATCTGTAAAGTTCCCAATAAACACCATGCTCCTCCCTTCCCCTTCCCTGAAGAGGTTGAATTGACGTGGCTGAGGGAGTAACAGCCCCAAATGTTGGGGTAGTGGGGCAGTCCTGTAGGGCAGTGCTGGGAGGGTGTAGGTCCAGAAAGGGAAGACGGTCCGAGACTGTCCGGGCCTGCTCTTCCCTCCTCCACCTGAACTGGCTTGCAAGACCAGCCGGCGCGGGAACCGAAGCCCCGCCCCGCCGTAGGCCCCGCCCCCGGGTCCCGGCCGCTCTCCAGGGTGCTGATCCGTGTGTACCGCGTCCACAGGCCCTGTCCCACCGTCCGCAGCCGGTCAGCAGACACTGGTTTTTGCCAGCTGGGATCTGAAGGGAGGTGGAATGCTCCTGGGAGGCAGGTGGCTGCCCAAAGCGACGGGAGGATGCAGCTTCTGGGATCCAGCCTCCGCCCTGCGTCCACCGCTTCGGCAGGACTGCAGGCCCCGTGGGCTCCAGCTACCTCCTCATCGCCCAAGGCGGCGGCTTCTTCTCAGCGCCCTCCCCCGCCGCCTCCTGCGAGGCTGTTTCCCTCCCACCTTCCAGACAGCCCTTCCTCTGCTTCGCTCACTGGTTCATCCTGTCTTGCTTCCCTCAGTATGGGTGCTCCACACAGGAGCACCGCGCCTGTCTCTCCTCATTCTCCACCCCACTCCTATGGAGCATGGAGCCTTCTCCCAACAGAGCAACAACTCCGAGTGCCCCCTGAAGCCCAGCCCTCTCTCTGGAGCTCCAGATGCCTGGTCCAGGCTGCCTCCTGGACATCTCCTCTGGGGACATCCTATAGGCTCCTCACTCAAATGTTCAACATCCATCACATCTTTTGTCTCTATCAAAGGCATCAGCAAACTTTTAATGCCCAGTCTGGAAACTTCAAAGTCGCTTTGCCTCTTCCCTCTCCTCCACTCCCTGTGTCAAATCTGTATTGATGGCCTGTCAATTCTCCCTCTGTAATTCTCTCACATCTGTCCACTCCCTCCATCCCCCAAGCCCCAGCTTCCTTCCCCCTCCCCCGGTCATTCTCCAGTCCCCTACCCCAGTTCAACCCCTCTATTCCACCTGCACCCTGCACCTAGTGCCGGCTTTCTAAGACATCTATCTGGCCATGTAACTCCTCCTCAAAACACTTGCATGGCTCCCCCATGGCCTCAGGATAAAAGCCAAGCTCCTCAGCCTGGCATTTGAGGTGTCTCATGATCTGGCCCTGACTGACCTCTCCATCTTCTGCTCTAGATGGAGCAGGGTCTGGTCCCCAAGCACATGCCAGTCCTTTCCTCCTCCTTGACTTGGTACAGTCTGTTTCCCCTCCCAGGTTGACGTCTCTCTCCTCTTTCCTCTGCCCATCCTAAATCCTGCCCCATCCTTCCTGGGCCAGTTCAGCACACACCCTGCCTCCACCCACAGCGGACCGAACAGGCAGGGGAGGTGACCGGGTTCTGGGTTAAGCAGCCTTTGGCTGCCTCTCCCTTCCCTAACTTGCCAACCATCCCACCACCTCATCCCCCTACTCAGATTCATCTCATTTCTTCTACTGGATCATGTTTTCCTCAAGGTCAGGCCAAAGTCCTATTCACCTCAGCCCCAGTCCCCAGCCTCTGAGCAGTCCCACCAGGTACAAATGAGAATTTTTTTTGTGTGTGAGGAAGATCAGCCCTGAGCTAACATCCGATGCCAATCCTCCTGCACCACCAGGCCAGCCCCACAAATGAGAAATGTTAATAGACAAAAGTAGGAAGGAAGGAGAGACAGGTGAGTGTGGAAATGAGACAATGCAGAGCTCAGTCCAGGATCACATCGAACCAAGTCCTCGAGAAGAGGCCGCAGGTGCATGTGGGGACACTGCTGGTGGTGGGGAGGGCCTCACTGACCTGCTTGGTGGGGATCCCCCTCTCCCCCAGGGGCAGAATGAGGCTGTAGAGTGTGAAGTAGCCTCAACTCTCCGAGGGAAGGCTGGTAATTCGCGGAACATGGAGTTCACGGAGGGTTGGCCTGAAAACCCCTGGGTGAGTCCCTGTGGCTGGGGGCCAGGATGGGCCCACATTAGGTCTCGGCAACAGGAGCCCAGGGGGCGGGCAGTGGGGAGCTTGCGCAGCCATCTCACAATGCTCCTCCGCCTCCTCCTCGGCCAGGAGGCTGCCGCCTGTGGCTGCAAGGCCAATGGCTAGAGGAGCACGATGTCCTTGGCAAGGGCCTGGCATAGTTCCCTGCGTCCCCACACCAAGCGTGGACCCATCACACCATGGGTGACAAGGCCTTTGCCAACAAAGGAAGGAAAGGCCGCCACAGCCTCCAGAAGAGCTCTAAGGTGGAGCAGCTTCTTCAACACCTCAGGAACAAGGTGGCTTTGGGACCCAGAACCAAGGGTTGGGGTGCTGTGGGCCTGCTTCAGGTTCCAGAATCAGTCAGAGCTGCCCTATGAGGGAAGGGGTGACCCTACGTGGGGACAGTGAACTCCCCATTGCTGCCAGGCAGGGGGATGAAGTGGTGGAACAGATGGCAAGTTCTGGGAAGGGAAAGGCACCCAGAGCTCAGCCCCTCAGCCCAGAATCCAGTGACCCTTCCTGCCGACACTGCCCCCTGGATGGGGTGGGGGCTCTGAACTGACCCAGGGAGGATGGCCAGATTTGGGGCGGGCAGAGAAAAGGAAGAGAAGAGGGAAGTCCACCAGACACTTGGAAGTGCCTTCTGCCTGAGGTCAAGGTCACCTCCAGGGATATGAATCAGGCAGCATAAGACGCAAGAGCCAGTGGAGTCCAATCCCTCTCTGGGATTGGGACAG